CTAATCACCTCCCAAAGGCCCCACCTCCTAATACCATCACCATGGGGATTAGCATTTCAGCATACGAATGGGGGGACACAAACATTCAGTCCCTTGCCTTGCTGCACACACCCTTCCTTTCATGTTCATCTGAGCTTCCTTCTCTCTTCCACCACAGGTGGCTAGAGGTGCAGGTGGCTAATCTAACAAGTCCACAGCGTTGGGTGCAGTACCTCCGGCTTCTTCGGGAGTCCATCTGGCCTGGTGGAGTTTTGCCCAAGTTTCCTCGGCCTGCAAGGACTCGGGAGCAGAAAGTGGCTACTGAGAAACAGGCTTTGCAGAGCCTGGTGGGAGTCCTGCCAGGTAATGGGACCGGTGGGATCAGTTATACTCGTAGCTATTCCCCTTTCATCCTGCTTTGCCACCGTTTCCACATGCCCCTCCCTGGTTTTAAAAGGGCCTTGAATGAGGCTAAACTCAAAACCCATTGACCCACCAGCTCTCAGGCTAAGAGGAAAATGATCAGGGCTGCGATTCTTGTATCCCTCACCGAGGTGATGCCGAGGGAATGGGAAGGACCACTGTGGCTGTACCCTAAATACCAGGTGAGAATCCACAGATATTTGGGTTAATAACTTTTGGGCAGGCCTGGGGAAACTGTGCCCTCCTCCCTACAGGGGCAGGTCTCAGAGCTGCTCCTACCAGGTGAGGACGTTGGGTGCTCTGCCAACTCATGGCATTTGGGACCAGGGAAGAAAATGACATGTCCTCCAGAAGCTCAGACTTGGTAAATTGCAGCCATTGAGTAGGAGGCTTGGTCCTTGGCAGTAAGTGAAAACAAAGCCTGAGAAGGTTTTTCCCTCTCGCTCTGTGTTGTTTTTGGAGGGCAGGGAAGGTAGCTTGTTGCCTGTGGCTGTGGTAACCAGGGAGTAGCAGTGAACTCAGTTCTGGACCCTCAGTTTTATTTACGCTTATTAACCCTCTCTTTGCCAGCCTGAACTGTGACATCAGAAGTAGTACCTGCACTTTGGTGGCAGGTTACAAAATTATTTTTTGAGGATCATTCTTATTTAAACACCTAACTTAAGGAACATATTCTTCTTAGCTTTTCCCTGTTTTCTGAGGATTGTCATTTGGCTATGTGGTTTAAAGGTATGCCAGACATAGCCAAGCTGTGTGAAGACGACAGAGATCCTGGGGAGAGAATCTCCTTAGAGTCTAGGGCTTCGATGGTAATGTGAAAATCCCATCTGTTTTCTCCTTATCAGACTTTGTAGTAGAAATCCTTGGGGTGAACAGATGTCAGCTGAGCTGGGGTCTAGTCCTGGAGTCACTACAACAACCCCTCATCAACAGGTAGGCTGAAAAACATGTACTCAACATCAGCATAACCACGGCTGTCTCTGGTTTCAGAGGTATCTAAGGTTTCTAAGTGAAAAGCCCACATTTGGAAAAACGGGAGTGTAGTCTTTACTGGTGCTGGGCCCCTGATTGCAAGGTGTGATGTCCAAATCTACACACACTAAGTAAAATCCACCCTTTCAGGCTTCAGAGCAGGTTATCATGTGGTAGTAAGCTACTCTTGGATCAACTACCATTTCCGTTTGGAAGAACTCTATGCAGGCCCCCATGTGAGCTGCTGAAAATGCCCTTTTAGGCTGTAGGCTTGTTCCACGCTCTTCCAGCATCCACCAGCCCTGTGAGAGCATGCCCTGGCCTGTGTATGATATGCTGTATGATTTTTCAACGTAGGGTTATGGCCTCATAGCAAAGCTACGATTAGTGTTAGGATCAGGAGTTATCTTTGCTTAATGACAAGGCATAGTAGGCCAGATAGTGAGACTGATAAAGGGACCAGGCTTGTAGAATCATCCAGAAGGGATAGACTTCATTTCTTGGGCTGGAATGCTTCTGGAAAGCATTAAGTAATCTTGCATTCCTCTCTCAAACCCTGTCCCAAAGTAGACTATGTCTATTAACTTCCACTCCTCAAGGGTCCTGGTTTTGCCTCATTGCCTGCAAGGCAGCCTGTAAATTTATAGTGATTAATTATGAGAAACAGCAATAATCAGAATCTCTGAAAACTCCTAGTAACCTGACATCACAAGGATTTTCCCTCACAGTTCTTCAGAGCAGTGCTGATGTGCTAATGTAACTATCTAAAGAGAAATGGAATTTTATAAAACCTCGTCTCAAGTACTATGCTTGCCTTTATTGGAGTCGTAGCCTTTATTAGTTCAACAAACATTAATTTCATGGCAGAGGCTTCATCAAGCTATTAAAGTTTAGAGTATCAGTCATGGGAGGAGAAAGTAAATGTCCATAAACAGGATCTTGTGTTTCCCGATTGAGCCAGACCCCCCTCTAAGTTGTTTTGTCCATTTGTTTCAGGCATTTAATTTTCTGCCTTGGGGACATCATCCTGGAATTCTTGGATCTCAGTGCCTCTGCTGAGGAGTCTGCTACAACCACCTCTGCCTCAGATACCCCAGGCAACCCTAAGAGGATGGGTGTCTCCCCTTAGCCGTAGGTTATTCACACATTCTTCCAAGTTCAGGAAAGGGGAGTTATTCAGCCACCCAGAGAGCAGTCAGGAAGCCTGTGCCTTCTGGAACTAGGATGTAGCTCAGAAGGCACGGGTCAGTGGCTCAATTCTCCCCTCCGGTTCTATTCCATTTGTAGCAGGCAATGGGGGGATCTTTATCCCAATTGCATGCTCATCCAGTTCCATGTCCATTTTGTGGTGTTTGAATTGTTGCTGGTGAGTAGATCCTGTTTCCTTTAGAAAAGGAAGCTGTGAGGTAGAGGAATGAGCCCCTTTTGCTTCTCCATTTGCCCTCCTCCCTATCATTGTTTGCCAAAAGCCTGGCCCTGTGCACACGTGTACTTAATCCACTAACACACAAGCTCTGGATAGAATAGTAAAACTATAGCCAGATTTCCTTGGAGGAGAAAACAATCTTCTGAGCTCTCTGTTCCCACCTGGAAACTGAAAATTCATTCAAGGCCACTGCTGAAAGCCAGACCCCTGAGTCCTCCCTAGTTTCCCAACAATTCCAGGAGGAGAACGAAGGAAAAGATTTCTTAAGGGACTTCTTGCTCATCGGCTGTTTTCCAACATATCAGCTTATGGAGGATGTCATGAAGGCTGCTTCCCTGGGTGGCTACACTTTTCCTGTCCAGAAGACTTCAAAGCAGACTGCCAAAGCTTCTGGTAAATCCACCCCACCCTTCACACCCTTTCCTGACAGGGAGTTGCACCACAGATTTTATTTATTAGCTTTCCTCTCAACCCCCTGCACAAGAGCAATATGAGTTTTTGAATTAGTGACCTTCCGTCTATCTTCAGCAAAACCACTTGGCAAGTTGCATATTCAGCCTGTGTTTCCAAAGAGAAGGGAAAGCACTTGCCCCATGGCTGAGAATGCCCAAAGATTAGGAAGCCAGGTGATGAAGGGGTCTCTCTGCATAAGTTTTGGGCAGGGACCTTTTACTCTGAACAGATAATATTAGCAAATTTGCAGGGAATAGCTTTTTATTTCCTGTTCCTTAAGGCTCTAATTAGTCTTTAAGAACAGCAGCAATGAAGGTAAAGGTGCCCTGTCAGGCCGCAGCGTGTGTTAGAAAGAAGGAACACTTAAGAGGCATTGCTAGTAGAAAAGCAGGCAGATGGAAAGTCCCAAGGGAAGTGCTGTACGTTAAACGTATGTGAACAGCTGGCAAAGAGGTTTCGAGGGTGTCACTTTAGCTTCACCCTTGCCTGTTAGCACCCTGTTTCCACTGAATGTGAGACCCTCCCAGCTGGTGTGAAGAGCAAGTGTCAGGTTTCTTAGACCGTGAAGTAGGTGACAAGCGCACAATTAAAGTGGTTTGTGGAAGAAAGTTGTGAAATCTTTTTCCTTTTTGCCCCTCTAGAGGCTTTTAACCATCAGTTGTGTTCTGATGTACTTCGGAGGCTTAGGTGTGCTATTCTTGCCAAAGGCAAGGAGGTGAATGAAATAATGTATCATGGGCCGTTCCAGCCTTAAAAGTTGATTATTACAATGATGGTATGGCTCCAAAGTTCTTGAAGCATCTCCCACCCTATACTTTCACAGGCAGAGCTCAGCGTCTCCACCATTGGTGAGTACCTGCAGGGGTCCAGCTGGACAACGTATTAGAGCTGGTCCTTTAGCTCGGTCAGTGAGGGCCAAGATGCTATTCTGGGTAGGTGTAGGTGGGCAGCCCTGTTTTCTGCCTCATTCTCCGCATACCTTCCCCTCACTTGTATTTAGCCACCTTTGTAGCTTTGAATCTGCTGCCAGTTCTGGCTCATGTGTGGCACAAAATCATTAAGTTGACAACTGGACAATACCATGACATCCCCAGGGCTATAAATTCTAAGGAATCTTTTGACACAGTCCAGTGAACTTACTTCTATTTCTTGTTACATAAGAGTTCCACCTCTGCTCCACTGGCCCCCAAAAGATAAGCTGTCCTCAGACCTTCCTTCTACTCGGAATGGAAATAATAGGTTCATACAGCAAGAGAGTAGCCTTGAGAGAGGGCTGCATTTGTCCGGAAGAGATACTAGGGACAGCGATAAAAGGCAGTGAAGAATTGGGCCTGTACTAATCCAGGACTTTTTTTTTTTTTTTAACATTTACTTTTGACTAAATGTTATTCATTTAAGTCAGAATTTTAATATTTGAGATAAGACCAAAGCCCTTTCCCCTATCTTAGTATCACATAAAAAAGAGGAAGGGGGTGATGCTGTGTTCTCTCTGTCAGATTCTAAATACAATCCTGCCATTGCTTATTTGAATTTAAGAAAGCTATACTTACTCATCAGAGACAACTCACATTTTCATTTTCACATTTGTGAATTAGGCTTAATAGTAAAATATAAAAGGAGAATATATTCTAAACCTTTAATACAAGCTGCTCCAATTTCCAGTTGGAATTTCCAGTTTACAAGGTAGGTTTTTTTTCATTGTTGTGAAGAAACACAATGTGAGATCTACCCTCTTAACAAATTAAGCGCACAGCACGTTGTCAACGATAAGCAGCACAGTGCTGCGCGGCAGGGCTCTGCAAGCTCTCCGCCTTGCGCAACTAGAGCGTTATACCCACTGGACAGCAGGTCTCTGCTTCCCCCTTGCCCCAGCCTCTAACGTTGTCATTCTAGTTTCTGCTTCTGTCAGCTTGACTGCGTGAGATACCTCACATAGGTGGAGTCACGCGGTGTCTGTCTTTTTATGACCGGCTTATTTCGCTTAGCATAGTGTTCTCCAGGTTCATCCATTTTGTGGCGTGTGACAGAATTTCTTCTTTTTTGAGGCTGAAAATATTCCATCATATGGGTATACTGCATTTTCTTCATCCATCCAACGACCATTTAGGTTGCCTTCACATCTTGGTTATTGTGACGAGTGCTGCATTGTACGAGGGAATGCGACTATCTCTTCAAGACCCTGCTTTTAGATAAATACCCAGAAGTAGGATGGCTGGATCATGCAGTAGTTCTATTTTTAATTTTTTGAAGAAGCTTCATACTGTTTTCCGTATGGCTGCACCATTTTACATTCCACCAACAGTGTACAAGGGCTCCAGTTTGTCCACATCCTTACCAACACTTGTTATATTTTGTTTTTCCTTTTTATAATGGCCATCCTGACAGGTGTGAGGTGATATCTCATTGTGGTTTTGATTTTTCTAACCCTGAACATTCTTGAGTCTTTCTTTGCCCTCTCCAGCCTATTCATTTTCAACATCCACTCCTCCTTTGCTCATAGCACCCAACAACAGCTGCTAGGTCCGGATGGAGTAAAAATGTGTGTAAACATGGTCCCTGGCCATATGAGTTATGATGCTTTGGACAGGAATTAAACTACTAGGAAAATTTATTTTTTCGTAACATTAGTACATGAATAGGTAAACCCACAGATTTGGTGATTCAGCAACTCTGGGACCTCATAAGGGGCCCGGATTCTTTCTACCTGTCTGCTCTGTCATTCTAACCACGTCAGCTCTGCCCTCACACTGCCTTCTTCATCGTGCAATTCTGGGTTTCACACCCAGACATAACGTCCATGGAAGAACAGGGTATCTCTTCCATGTTTTCATCTAAAGAATGAGGGAACCGTTTGCCAGAAGCCCTCTTACCCTGACTCATTGGCCAGAGCTGCCACCCTGTGTCCACTGACATTGGGAATAGCGTTACCATCATTGGCTTGCAATAGTATTTACCCCTGGAGATGAGGTCACCTTCCTTGAAGGTCAGATATTTATAAAAATAATCAGATGTTAGCAAGGAAAAAGCAGAGAATGGGTATTGATAGACACTGTCTGCATGCATAACCACTCTGCAAATTGCCTTTCTGTCTTACAAAGCAAAATAAGACCTTGTTCTCAGTTTTAAGGAGTCTATAGTCTAGTATAAGAGCCAAGAAACTTTTTCTGTAAAGGACTAGAGACTAAATATTTCAGTCTGTGTAGCTGAACGGTCTCTATTGTAACTACTCAGCATTTCCACTGTAGCGTGAAAACAGACACTTCGTAAACAGATAAGTATGGCTGTGTTCCAGTAAAACTTGATTTACAAAAATAGGCAGCTGGCTGGATTTGGCCCAGGATTTGTAGTTTGTGGACCCTTGGTCTAGTGAGTTAGAGTAGTTCATCGAACTTCAATGTGCATATGATTCATCCGGGATCTGGTTAAAATGCAAATTTTGATTCACCTCTGAGGTGAGGCCTGGTAGAAATGCAGGTGCTGCGCTATGACAATGTCGCCAGCGTGATTATGCCCCCACCCCGCGGTCTGGGGGAGCGTTGGAGAGTCCCGGCTTCAGGAACACACTCAGCCAGGCTGTCCTGGCAGCCTCCGCTCCTCCAGCCCCGCAGCACCTGCTGTTTGTCCAGTCTTCCTTTGCACTGGAGCAAGATGTGTTTTCCCAGGATGAGAAGAAGAAGGTTGGCCAATGCTGCTGGGTATGACAGGGGAAGGAACAGGGGAGGAATGGTAATTGGGGAGGAAGGGAAACCATGATGATTTTGTAGTTGAAGGCCTAACTGGGCTAGCTCTGCCGTAACTTGGCACCTCTGGGAATGCCAGAAATCACAGGGCAGTAGTCACTCCCGCTGCCTTGAAGACAAGAGAATGCAATCATTGAGGGGTGAATTTCAACTAGCAAATATCCGCCACTCCTTTGTGGTATAAATGATGAGAGATGCTGCTACACACCAAATAGGATTTCTTAGGAGAAAGGCAGTGAGGAGGACATTACCCAAACATGACTTCCATATCCTAAGCCTTAGCTGATATTTCTTGTTATACAAAGACAACACTGGCTGGTTTAAAAAAAGAAAGAAAGAAAGAATGTTTAAGTGTCAAGCAAGACACAAGTGAAAATCATCAGAACATTTTTCCTTCTGTGACTCAGTAGCAACGGTGTGTGACGCAGAGGCCACTCTGAAGTGGTAGAGGAATTCCGGCACCAGCAGTCACCTTGGCAGATACGCTCTGCTGCTCTCAGATCTGCCGAGCCTCCCTGCCACCTCCTGTCATCCTCACCTGTGTCTGGTCTGAAAGTCCATTTTAACTCTGCTTTCTTGGAACCAGAAACGAGCGTGTGAGAGGATGCAGAGGACTCCTGGCTCTGTCCCTGCGTGTCTTCCCTGCAAACCTTCCTGGCAGGTGCTTCTGTAGAAGTCAGCAGCAAACTGACTCTGGGATGTGGAAGGTCGGGAAGGAAGAATAAAAGAAAAACAACGTGAAAGTAGTCGTATCAAGACCCAAACTTAGAAAACATTTCTTGAAGTGATGTTATCTCTTTTTAAACCAAAGTAGATTCCTTGTCACAAGTCAGTGTTTATTTGGGAAGTGAAAGCTAATTTTAATATTAAAGTGTTACAGTGGTTAAGAAGGCAAGTCTGTGGTTTATAATTAAGTAACCCACACTTGGGCTTTTTTTCCCTGCACCTTTGTTCCATGTCACTGCTGCACCCTGCCGTAAGCAAGGAGGGTTGGCTGTGATGCTTCCAGAAACTTGGATTACCCCACGAGGGTAGAGACCTGGCTTGAACACAGAAGTCCTACTTGCAGATAAAGAGAGTAATATGTCTCCAGAAGCTATGACTTGTCTGTACCGGGTCGAACTGGATTTGGTGACTTGCAAGCCCAGGTCATCCGCCCTTTCTCATAAGCCCTCGTTGAAGCCTCACCCTGCTCCTGTAACTATCCAAAAGGGTGACCACGAGTGTCGATGTGAAATGTCTGCCTTTCATGCCTCGGCACCAAGTAGGACAGCCCTTGTTAAGAGAGGAAAACCTTTTGGAGTTTACGTCCTTTACAAATGCTGCTTGTATGGAGTCCAGATTCAGCAAGGGGACGGCAGGCCAGCTCCTTCGCAGCTTCGTGTGGTAACGTTCCAGGTGTGCCTTCTGCTATCTGTAAGTGCACACGATTCTTTCATGATAGTGGGGGCACCTTTCATTAAGGCCTCCTGAGTCTCTAGGAGGATCACGTGGGCTTGGTTGACAGTAGGGAATTTTCTTAGGGACAGAATGTATCATAGAGATAGTCGAGGCAGGAGATTGGAGGAGAAAGCTTCACAGATCCAGGGATTTGCAGTCTGCCCCAAACCTTGCTCTGTCCTGCTTCCGTTCTTTGGCCCACACTCTCCTTTCCACTGGGAAGATCACCTTCCCTCCTGCAGCTGGGCAGGTGGGCCCCCTCTACCTGTCAGGGCCAATTCAAGTTCCCCCTTCTCGTGAAGCATTATCTGATGGCACCAGCCAAAACTCTTTCTCCTTCCTCTGAGTCATTTACACTGTCTCAAGTCTATGTGCATGTATATGAGGTCT